TATTTTTTTTACAAATTTGTCTGTACTAAATTATAATTTTTTAGTTTAATTTAGTTTATTTACCATAAAGCACTACAAATTATCGTACTTTCTTGCGGAGATAAACTAATTATCTATACACAAGTTGATATAAAATAAATTCATAATATATAAATAGCAAAGTAAAAGTATTAATAATTAAAAATGTTGTAAAAAAAGAGAAATTATAGTTTTATCTTTGTATTGAATCCAGATTGTTTGTCATTTCCAATTCTATAAGTAAGCTCGAGTTATTTTTTTTATCCATCTTTTAATTTTGGTTATACTTTTTTTTGGTCGATATTTAGTCTTTTATTTCGATATTTCATTTCCTGAAGATCTTGAAAGCAGCGAAACAATGACTACATAGGATTAATGATTTGTCAACTTCTGGCATAATGATTTTATGTTTGGTTACACTGATTGAATTTAAATACTCTATAGATATAAGTAGAAACAAGCAATTTACTATGTTATATTGTTCATGGTAACAACATAAATTAATTGTTTTAGATCTTAGATGAAATAGAAAAAAACTGGTTTGAAAATTCGAATGATGGCTTGTGATCAGGAAAAACCAAATATACGAGGGTGGTCCGATAAGTACTTAGCCTACAAAAGAAAAACGAAAATTTTGGAAAAGTGGCGTTTTATTTATCAACATAGTCTCCTTTTAGTTCGATACACTTGGCCCAGCGATGCTCCAACTTCTTTAACCAGTCTCAAAAATCCGTTTCCTCGAGGTCTGAAAAGTAGGCTTCCGTGGCAGCGATTACCTCCTCATTCGACTCAAATTTCTGCCCGGCGAGTGACTTTTCAAGTTTGGAAACAAAAAGAAGTCGCACGAGCTAAATCTGGAGAATACGGTGGATGGGGCAGCAGTTCGTAGCCTAATTCGACCAATTTGGCCATGGCGACGGCGGAGGTGTGAGCCGGTGCGTTGTCATGGTGGGAGAGCACTTTTTTCTTCGCCAAATGGGGCCGTTTTTTCTGCAATTCGACGTCGAATCGGCTCAATAATTCCGCATAGTACAGCCCTGTGACCGTTTTGCCCCTCTCCAGGTAGTCGGTGTAGATCACACCTTGTGAATCCCAGAAAACGGTGGCCATCACCTTTCCGGCCGATGGGGCAGTCTTTGCCTTCTTCGGAGCACTTTAGCCGGGGAAAGTCCACTGTTTCGACTGTTCCTTGGTCTCTGGTGTATACCAGTGGATCCATGTTTCGTTGACTGTCGCGAAACGATGCAGAAACTCCTTCGGATTGCGCTTAAACAGCGTCAGACATTGATCTGAAGTTGTCTCACGGTTGCGCTTGTTGTCCGGAGTGAGCAAACGCGGCACCCATCACGCCGACAGCTTTCTCATGCCCAAAATTTCATGCAGGACATGACCCACGCGGTCTTTTGAGATGCCTACGATCTTAGCTATCTCGCGCACCTTCAATCGTCGATCTGCCAATACGAGATCGTGAATTTTTGTCATGTTATCCTCTGTGGTAGCCGTTTCCGGAGCACCTGGACGTGGTTCTTCAAAAATCGACGTGCGACCACGTTGAAACTCGTTAAACCAATTTTTGACGGTCGCCATCGAAGGAGAAGAGTCACCGTGCACAGCATCCAAGCGCTTTTTGATTTCGCTGCGCGATTTCCCTTCCAAAAACAAGAATCGAATTACCGACCGATACTGCTCTTTTCCCATTTTTCAAAAATCAACGGACACACTTGCTTTCACACGCTCTCAAAAATAAACTACAACTCCGATCCGGCTAAAATCTTGACAATAACCATCGAGAAGGTTGTACTACATGATAGAATATTTCTTTTGCGCCATCGGGCGGTGAGGCTAAGTACTTATCGGACCACCCTCGTACAAGCAATAAGATCATTGAACATAAGTTGAAGATCATATTTTACAAGGGCATAATCCTAAAATTATTTTAATTTTGATTGGTGTCACTTGGACAAATGTTAGCGAAATAACTTGTTACACAGTAATGCGATAATTAATAATGCTGTCATAGTAACAGAGGATATAATAAAGCATTTATTCCCGCGAATAAATGCTTCGCAAATTCGAGAAACATAGTTCTGCTGATGAATGTCAAAAATGGACTGGTCGTTACATTAATTCAAACAACTTAAAAAAAATGAGCATGAAATTAGCGACACAAGTATTTAACAGCATTGCTGGTGCTACATCACATCACTGTCTGTTGTGAATATGAATGACTTCTTTAACTGTTTCAATGCTCGTCATTCGAACGATCCAAATCTCGTAAAACGCGATATAACAGAAACAAATACAACAGTCACTAAAAAATCACACGATTCTTTGATATAGATCGAAGCAACACGTATAATACATCCTAACACTAACAGAACAAAGAATCACTCGACTGCTTTGATAATAACAATAATCAGTTTTAGGAAAAATAAGAAAAAGAGGATCGATTTTATTTGTTAACTGGTAAAGGGAATCAAGATCTATTGTAAAATTGTAATGCACTATGACATATGTATCATATCGTAATTTGAATCCAATTTCTTATCGATCCCAAAAAAAATTGTCAACACGCTAACGGTTATGTCATTACTATAGACCTCACCCGATGATAAATGTAAACATGACGAATATGTGAATTTGTTGACGGATTTTAAAGGTACACCATTAAAAAAAGGAAAGAAAATGTAAGTTTAAATGAACAAATTTTAGTCGAAATAAATGAAATATAAACTTGGAAGTTTGAAGAATATTATGATAATACCAACAAGTCGGAAAATGAAGTTTTCTAGGAATGAAAACAAGTCTTTTTTTCTGAAGTTACATAAGATAACTGTACTAAAAACTGCAGAGTATATTTTAAATACTTGTTATATGTTAAAGATGTTAATGATGTTTAAAGAAATTTGGAAATTGTAAAAGTTGAACACGCGAGATAATAGATATTTAACTGATAGCTTGATATTTTAGAAAACATACAATATTCCGAAAAAAGCATTACATTATTTAAAAGTACCATCTGCTATTTTTATAATCTTATTTCAGAATGCTATTATTTATTTGTTGATGAATTTGTATTGAAATTTGAATAGTTACATATTTATTTATTTGTGAACACATTCATAAAAAAAAAAACTCTTGCTTTTAATAAACAATTTAAATATTTCTGGTTCACTAAAGTACATTGTAGAATATAGATTACTTTTTCAAGTACTATACAAAAAATTATCACGATTCAATGAATAAAAATCATTCGTATACAGTTGGTAAACCAAATACAAAAATGCAGAATTTCAATTTGGAATATAGGAGCTGTGCCTCGATCAGATTAATTTTAATAATTATTAGTCCTCTCTTACACATACACTACTCTGCTGTTATTGGTGCTCGATCGAACAAAGATTTTCATGTTCATATTTACATGTTCACATTTACAATTCAGCACTCGCTCGATCGCATTAAATCCATAAACATTTATTCTTAGATTTGCACACTAGCATTCATACATTTCCGAACATTCTCGTTTTGCAATTGTTATCAATTATACGAATTTACTCCTTTCCACTCCTTTCCATAAAAACCAAGATTTGTTGCAACATTCAAGAATGTATTTCCAAACATTTTTTATAATTTCGTATTGCGTTTGCTTTTCTGAACGTTCGTTCTAAAACAGTTAACTCTCTCGCTTATTTGCTTAATTTGTTTCGTCAGAGAAATATTAATTCCTTCAACTATTTTTTTTATTTATTTAAACCTCATTCAACTATTTCACGATTGTTTGTTATTCCTTATAAACCTACTAAACTTTTCTACAAAACAAGAACATTTCATATCATCCTTTACTCCGTCCTTTCCTGACGGAAGATTATCTGCCACCTTCTCGTTGGCTTTCATCAAATGATTCTCATAATATTCGTAAAGATCATTATCTTTTTTATGTAAATTGAAAATCGTCAAGAACAATTGATTATTACTGGATATGAATCAATATACGCGATGCATGAATGGTAAATGGAGTATTTAAAAAAATATTTTCGGAAAAACAATGATCATTATTTTAATTACAATTTTCACATCTTTTTTGGTTAGGTTTTAAAGCACGCGTTTCCGTATCCTAAAAATTATCACTAGTATATGGCAATGATATCACAAGAGAATATTATTAGCATTAATCGAGGGCAGTCAACAATAAATATTATAGCTAAAATAATATTCTTATTGTCAATATTGATAATAAAAAATTTTCCATGCTGCTTTTTCTCGTTTAAAAATATGTACAATTTAATGCATTATTATGTATATTTGTTAATATTTTTTATTAATACCCCTTCAATTTTCCAATAATCAATTATTGAACACATACAAAAAAGATATGCAAATAGAGGATCTGATATGACGACGCTTAGTTTGCGGGTCTGAAACGTTACCATCATGGCTATCAATAATCGAGATGTTGTATTGTTGAAGGTTTTGGTAGATTAATAGGGGGATGAAAGGAAAAAACTATTCGATGTAGGTAAGGATGTAACCGAACGCAACGTCGGTAAAAGCTCTTACGCACAAGTTGTCAATGAGCGCCGCCTACCTCCGTGGGAGGAAACTAATCATCTCTTCAAGATTCCGTGCCTATTGGCCTTCTATTAAAGCAAAGCGGTGTCTTTCTACATTCTCCGATGTTCATTAATAGTAGAATAAAAAAAAGAAAAGAATCGTGTGCCCCTGTTTTATCGCATCGCAGTGATCTTGATATCGCACACAATATGCTCATCATCGTTCACCAATACATGTATATACGTGTCAGCCATGTTGTGTTGATATTTTCGTGGCAGCACGTTTTAATGTGCGTGTATATAACCTCGCACACGCACATATCGGCCTATCTCCCGAATTCACACGTACGTGCGTGCGTAAGAAATTTTATTTTTGAGATGTGCAACTGTATAAACAGTCACGAGTGTGACAGTGATAAACAATGTACTCACCGTGTCTGGCAAACCGGCTGACAGTCTTCCCATTAGACCTACGGCCCTTTTTCTGGTCGGCACTCCGGCCTTTTAGTAACATTTTCTGCCGCACTTGCTACGCATTATTAAATATCTTCAGTGTGTGGGGCGGCAGTGGCAACGGCAGCCATTTGCACTGTGTTGGCACACCGCTAGATTATTATATTTATAATATACACGCGTGCCGATGCAATCTGCACACGGACCTCTGTTTCAGTCTGCTTATACCCTTTCCTTTTAGTCCGTAAAATCAAGTCGTAAACACCGAGTTTAAAAAGCTAACCACATATGGTTGTCCACGGCACTGTGCATGTGAGTGACTACTGTTCTGTGTACGTTTTCGTCACTTACCGGTCTTGTTTGCCCCTGTGTACTCTCGAGCAATTTTTCAATCACAATTGCTCACTGAGCTCTCTCGTGCCTACGCAAACGATAACAACAAGGCTGAACTTTTTGTTACTAGCCAACTGCCGCGAATCTTGAGATTTGTTTTCGTGAAAAAAATACCACGGAATCGGGAATACCGCGCAGCGCAGCGCTATGTGCCTGCGATGCCGCGAACGCGTGATTTCAAGGTTAAATCAGTTAGCGACACTAGCACCACCTGTTGCCGCGTCACCTACTTAAACGCGCATTGACGATCAGTTGTTGGTCAAGTAGGCGACTAATGTTATCGTTGGACGAGGTCGTAATTCAAAAGAAAAAATTTGCCGTGCGCCGTTTGTGCATCTCGTATTGATCTCTCTCTCTCTCTCTCTCTGTCTCGTTGGAGTTAGGGGCGTTGGAAAAGCTACAGTGATGAGGTCAATAACCGCTGCTGGTCATTGATAAATGCTCCTGCTGAATCCGATGAAACGTAAAATTGACTTTATTGGGATTTGCTAGGCTTTCGCGAAGTTGAAAATTCTTAAAAACAAGCGTGGTTTTAAAATAAAAATGAGAGAGGTGAGTGGAATAAAAGAGCTCGCAGGATTTACAATTAATATAGTCCATATATATTTACAACGTTACAACAAAAAATCATTGATGTAATCGACATAGCATTCCAGTGACAATTCTGTCCTGGAATCTGACACACCCTTCATTGACTCCGCCTCTCGAGAGAACTAAAGAGAAATTCACGCGCGCATGTTCACAGTACATCCAGGTAAGTAATCGTCCGTGAAGCACATTAATCCCTTTTCGTCCTGGAAAAGCACAAGGGCGCTCCGAAGAAAACATTGTGAATCGCCGTCCTTTCATCCTCGCCCGCGCGCCCAACTCTTCGTCGCCCTTGCACACTCGCCACATATTATTGTTGACTCGTATAATAAATTCATTAAAATTCTCATGATTCACTGCCGTCGCATTTCCTCGTTATAATTCGCAATGTACGTAATAGTAATTACCATTTACCTATGTGTATGTATATGCATTTTTTTACGTGCGTTGCTATTTATGTACGTGTCTCTTTAACTCCCGACTTCATCATCGTATTTTCATTTAATAGACGCGTGCATGGCTCTACCGATACTTGCCAACGCTGTAATTATTTGTTCGACCCGACTGCCTGCTGAGTGATTGCATCTAATAATTACAAAAAGTCCACTTTATGACGCTCATTAGATCCAATTATTCGCTGCGTGTTTCGACAAATTACAACGCCTGATACTTACATACGCGTCTCTCGGCATGGACTAAGCACAAAATTTTCATCATCATTTCGCAAATGTCACTTTTCTAAAAGATCGCGATTATTTGAGCTATCATATCTACTATTAGGGCTTTTACTATGAGGATATTGTTATCAAAACTTTATCGATCATTACCTTATCTAGAGGCTATTGTTCTTCTTATAAATCTTTCTTATACGGTATCATTTATAAGAAAAGTTGGTTGCTCAAAGTTTATCATGAAAATTCTGCGCTTACTTCATTCGAAAACTTTTGGAAGCTCATCCGCGCCGCTTTGTCTATTTTATACATCGAGCCTTCAATTATTTAGACTGTAATACTCGTCATTTTTCTATACTTGTTTTAATTGTCAACTTAGTTTTTTGAACAGATATATATCGTATAAATTATTCATTTATATATAGTAATTCAAAAAATTTTTTTTATTTTCCATTTTATTCTTAATATAATTCAACAATATATCGATAGAAATCATCAAGGCTCAGTCATAACATTCAATATTATTTTTCTAATAGAAAATACAAAAGAATAGTTTAAATAATTGAACGCGAAAGCTTGTACGTACCCGAACCCGTCCAAAATGCGCAATGTCGTCGTGAAAATTTATCCGAGGTATCGTTACGTCAGTGTGAGAAACAGAAAATTATTGAATAGACCTTATACTGATAAATGTAGCCTGATAAGGCAATGGAAATTTCTTTGTTCATTTCACGATCAACATTTCTTTTTATCGGACTTTATTATCCTTTACTCTGTGTGATTTATGTCTTGACAGATGCACGCATTTTATTTATGATACATGTATATTTAGTCGGATTGTCCATATGTAATGATATCATACTCACATAATAGCATTTTCCCCGTTCGAATCATTCCGCAATTAGCTTACTCTTCCTTTTTTTATTTATCGGAAAAAGACATTCGGCGCATTGCTTTATAACAACTTGCGCATCATCGACAATTATAACAATTAATAATGTTTTTTTTTTCTCATCGCTTACAGTTTTTCTCTTCATCCTTTAATAATATTAAATATTTTTTGACTCTTTATTTTATATTCCGGTACTTCTTGGCTAAATGTTTTATGTATAATTGTATACAGTAAGATGTTAGAGCTTAAAAAGTTGTCAACGTATATGTGAACGGTTACTGTTTCCGGAAATGAAATTCAACATTGATTTGGCGAGTGGGTGCTGTTCTTACATTTTATAGAGTTTATACACAGACTATGAAACAGTCAGCCTCTGATTTATTTGAAAAATGTAATGATCAATATAAGAACACCATGACACTGCAAACTAGCGACGGTAAAGATACGTAAAAATTGTCAGTTGCACAACTAAATGCGCGTATAGAAAGGACCAGTCATCGCTATATATATATATATATATATATAACAATTGCAAAAATTGAAAGATTGTAAACAGTGCGCGCAAACGCAAGCAGAATCGTTTGATTTTTAGAATGACTTTTTTTCTCTTTTTGAATAGACTGTTGTACGAAGAACATCAAGTTCTGGGTTTTGATTAACAGTATCGAGGAACGACCGGTGCTCGTAATTTCACAATAATTTGCAATCTCTTCCTCTGTCATTGTGTCATTAAAATTCTTGCATATCTCGACGAATCTACACAGGCTGTAAAACTCTCTCGGGGGACTACGTATCGTGTGTCGTCGTCTCGAAAATAAAGCCGGCCGGTATACGGAAGAGTATACGGAAGACGAGAAGTTTTACTTTTCATTATTGGGTAACGCGTGTACATCAGCACTTTGCTTTCGATCCGATATCGGACGGGAGGAGCGATTTTCTTTTTTTTTTCCAGAATCACCGCTACTTCGCCTCGGCTTTTCTTTTTATATGAAAATAATAATCATGACGATAATAAAAATAATAATTTAATCGCTCGTTAGTCCCAGTCGAAGCTCGGCAATGGGCGACGACAGCGCTCCGACTGGGAAACGCAAGCGAAACAGTCTTTTTCTAGTCGCGTTCATCGCCCCCGAGATTAATAACGCCACTGTATCTTACAAACTAGTGTCTCCCTCGCTCGGATCTCTCGTCTCGCGTTACGCGCGCTTCGTAACAGCGAGAGACAAGCAAAGGTAACAAAAGGGAAGTGCGCCGTGCGAGTGTCGATGCGTGCGCCGTGCGCTTCAGAACGAAGCCCCCTCCTAGAGGAGCGTCGAGGCAGTGAGCAGATCCGCGGCGAGTGGCTGCTGCTCGTGGATCGTAGGAGGGGGCTCGAAGCATCAGACGCGCATCTCGCCGATGCCACCTTGGCCAGACTGCACCCTGCCCGAGACGGTGGTCGTCGCGCAGCCCTGCAGCAGCGGCTGGTTCTCCGGCGGGCTCTTGGCTCGTGGCGGCGGCGGCGCGCACGGCACCGTCAAGTGGATCGACCCGTTCGGCGGACCCTGCAAGTTCAAAACAACATGGGACCTCCTGCTGCTCTCGCGGTCTCGCTCGGCACGCGTCCGACCGCTCGCTTCGCTAAACTCCAAGCAGCACTGATCACTGATGCGCTATCGTTCAATGAGCTTGAATGGAGCTACAACTAGCGGCTCGAGTCGGTCCTTTGGTCCGAGCGAACTTTCGCGGCTTGAAAAAAAAAAATAATAATAATAATAAGAAGAAGCCGGCGGAAAAAGGATAGGCGCATCGAGGAAGGTCTTTCTGCTCGAGCCTGCGCACACGACAACACTTGACAGTCACACAAAACAAGTGCTCGTCAATGAAGGTGGAGTGCAGAACAAATAACGAAGGAAACTAACCGTGGTGAAAAGCGTCCGCGCGTCCGCGCGTCCGCCTATACGCTAAGGGCCCAAAGCGTCTAAAAGAATCAGACAAAAGACAAAGAGTAGATATTATGGAGAAGCTCGGCAGGACGGGAGAGAGGTCGCGCTGGTCGCGCACGAGGGCGAGCAGTGGTCGAGTGTAGGTGCGTGCGGCGCAGCGGCCAGCTGGGCTCTTTACCTGGCTTTGCTGGCTGCTTATGTCCGGAAGGATGACGGAGCTCCCTCGCGGCAGTGTCGAGTGCTGAGTCGCGTGCTGCTTTTGGTAGTGGTGCGGATGGGGCAGCGTGTGGGTCACCTGGGTCTGCTGCAGCAGCATGTTCGTCTCGCTCGGCGGCGCCGCCTTCATTACGTTCCTGTGGAAGCCAACAATCGGCTCGGTCGTCCGCTCGCCCTCGCCCTCGGCGGTCGACGGCCGGCCGACTCGCGGACGCGCCGCTGGACCTCGCTCACAGGCCTCCCAATCAAATCGAGCGCGCCCGAAGGAGGACGAGCCGGCGGGTGGCGCGAGGCTTCGTTTGTCCGCGGGAGAGCAATTAGCGCGGCCGGGCTGCGGCGCCCCGGGGCGAGCAATCAGAAGTCGCGGGCGCGCGGCAAATTACCTCCTCATCATCTCGTTCTCGACGTCGACGATGACCTGGCCACCGCCAGGGAAGTGCGTGTGCGGCGGCGGCGGCGGTGGCGGCTGTTTGAGCTCGCTGAAGCCCCGCGGGCCGCACTGTTGATTCATCATCTGCTGCTGCTGCAGGCTCTTCACCTCGAGCCTCGTCTTGTCCCGCTGGTAGTACACCCCGGCGAAGATCAGCACGTTCAGGATGAGCAGGCTGCAGCCGATGGCTATCGTCACGCTCAGCGCCGTGCTGTACGCCGCGTAACTGCGGGCAAAGAAGCAGTGCTCGCGGAATGTCCAGTGGCAGCAGCGCCTCGCCGGGAACTCGCCCGTCTTCTCTTTATCGGCCGAGAACTTTCTCGTTGATTCTCGCCAATCAGAATTGCGGGAGCGCTCGGCGGCTCGTCGCAATTTCGCGCGGCGCACGCCCCCACTTCGGCGCTTCGGTTTTTCCCGCTCTCCCTTTCTTTTACGGCGCTCGCAATTCATCCGGCGCTACCTGCCGCATAACTGAGTTTTCCTCGGCGCGAACAATTGCTGCCAACCTCGCGCGCTTTCTGCCGCAGCGATTGCACTTATATGGGGTCTTATGCTGCTCGTAAAGCGGTGCCGCTTTGCGTGCGAGTCGGACCTTAAAAATTTTTTATAATCTATCATATCATGATTTATTCGGTTCGTATCGTTTCGCTGTCGCCTCGCCGAGCGCCAAATAAAAATCTCCTGTCTCGCGACCCACATTCCTCTCCGCCACGCGCGTACTTTTCGAAAATGAAGGACCGCCACGCGCGGCAGAGATGCATTTTATGGGAAAATTTTTACGATGAAGGAGCTTTCACGATTCGGATCCTCGGCGATGATCAGCTCTGGAACGGGTATCGATTTTGCGTTGGATAAAGCGCGATTTCGAACTAAATTTCGGCACAGGCGTTATTTCCCTTCGGAAATTTGAAATAACAATAGACACGTATTCGAGTATAATATTAGCGAACGAATGGCTAATTAATGTTAATGATATGTCGTATAGCGAGTTTGACTTACTCCCATCCATGTCGCGATATCGCGCAACAAGTTGGGCTCAATTGAATTTTGCCGAATGCCATTTGGCCAATGATAAAATTTACCCAGCTGCGTCGAGGCTGGCCAACGTGTCCGTGCTGGCGTTGTGAATATTCTGAATGTTCGTGCTCTGAATGAGACTGACGCACGTCGTCAGGCTGTAATCCGTGGTGGTCGGAGGCGCCAGCTCGGTCGTCAAGTTACCAGCGCTAGGTTTTCCGTTCAATCTCGTCGTCTCCTCTGGTCCAGTGGCTATCCTGTTGAGCGGATCTGGGCGCACGTAACCGTCGTAGAGCATTGGGTCGGCGTAGTCTCGGAACAGATTGTGCCGTGGCTCCACGTCCTCCATTCCGGCGCGATGCAACTCCGGTACCAGGCGCAGCCACACCGAGAGCTGGTGCGCGCGATAGTGGTTCTTCACTTTGGGCTTCATGCCTGCAAAATATACATCTTTTTTCGTTCGATTCGTGCGCCCGCCAGAACGCGAGGGTGGAACAGAGATTACCATTGGCACCGCATAAGGCTTCACCGCACGGAAATTCGGACACGAGGAACACGTTATTCGGGGCATACGCGGTCATAGCGAGAATAACAACGATTCGTCGCTGAAATCGAGCTCGCGCGAACGTCCTCGTGGAAACGTCAGAAAGTTCGCGAGCGAGCGCATCATAGCCGTTATAGCGCACAACTTTTCGCGTGAAATTTCAAAAACAATTTATTTCTGGAAAATATTGCATTTCGCGTGCTACGTATGCCGACAGAGTAAATATGTATGCATTGTGCGTCGAAGAATCCCGAGGTTATTAAAAATAAACACAGCGCGTACCTATTTCCAGATACTTTTGATGCACGGGATCGTATTGATCCCAGGTAAGTCCGCGGAATCGGCTCTTCTCTCTGCTGGCTGGCAACGCTGCATCCGCTTTGCCATGTAAGTGCTCCGCCATATTCGGATTGCTATACGTGAAAAAAATAGATGGCAATTGTAAATTGTACATCAAACGTAGGAAGGAAACAGGAGAAGGATGGGTTGGAACTCATTAGGTACATCGGCAGTACGCAGGGTCGACGTGCCCACTTTATGTGGCGGTTGTGGCTACGCGAGCGACACCCGATGCCGCGGCTCGGCCATGTAAATCAGCAGCCGAAGAGTCCTCGCCGGCGACTTGTTCCTCGCAATTGCGACACGGCCTCTGGAGCCCGGCAGCTGGCAAGCTGACAAATCGATTCGTTTTTCATGATGTTCCGCGCATCGCGCGGCGTCCAAAACAAGAAGTGCATTGCGACTAATGCCCGCGGCGTCGTGCGCACGCATGCACGTGCACACGGGACACCGCGGCGCCGATGATAGAGAGAGTTTGCATAAAAGTCGATTCTCGGGTATAATTTAGTGCCCGGCCGCTCCTCCTCGCAGGCTACGCGCCAGCTAACTTATGTAAACTTATGTACACCCCTGCTGCCTCCCTCTCGCAGTCGCGCGTCCCGGAAGCGAGTTTCGGAGGGAACTCGAGCCCCAGCGTCACTTACATCGGACCTGGCAACCCAATACCGTGTATGCACTTAACGCAGCTTCTGCCCCCTCTCAACCAGCCTGCGAAATCACTTTAATTATGATTCCGAGGCTCGGGCACCCCCCCCCCCCCTCTATATCTCTGTCGCCGTTTTCTTTGACAAAGTGCCCGCTGCCTAACTGCAGCCAGATGCCCCCAGAGCAGCAGCCACCTCTCCTAATGGATATTGATTGGCCTGTTTGCGACAAATTTCACTCAGTTGTAATTTTCATTTGTATTTTGCTTCGCACAACTCTAGCCTACTTATGCAAGTTTCGCCGAGTTTACTAGCTTGATCTCGTTACGCTTAAACCGCCCGTGTCTATTTCACCAAGCTCTCTCGACGACTTCTCTGGGATAATTTTAATGGCCTCCGGCAGAACCGGTCCACTTGGTTTATCATGATTTACAGATATTCCAGCTTAAAATCCCAAAGAAAGCGTAAGAGCAGTTAATTGATTTGATGATTAACATTCACCTAAGATTATCAAGGTTTTGACAATTTAGATTGGTAAATACTATACTGTTTTTCAAATCTGTGGATGTGCAGATACAAGTATTTTGGAATTTGAAGTTGATTTCTCTATAAATTTCAGGATGACCGACATGAATTTCGATCGATCGGAGTAGAGTTTATCGATTGAAGATTTTTACGAAAAACGATTTAGCCGATTGTACATCATGAGATAGATTGACCTTACTGTACATTTGATATAGTTTCAAGGGTCCATGCAGCCATTGAGAATTCGGTCTTAACTCAAATATTATATTTAAACTTAGCTGGAACTCTATTGACTCAATACTGTACGGAAATTTATAACTTCAAAATGCTTAGTTATAATCCGGTTTTCAATACGTAGAAATTTTTATAGATATTTATTTATATTACGATACAATAAAGCTCCAATAACTGTACTTCATGTGAACTATAGAATACTTAATATTTAACTATGGATTTAATTGTTACATGATTGGAAAATACATTCGGAGTGCTATTTTTGTTTATTAATTCAATTTTAGTATAATTTTTGATTATAAAGTTCAAAGTGACATTCAGTATAAATTTAGAACTATGTTAGGTTGGATATTTAAACTTCTTAACCAAGGATTTGAAAGATTTCAAAAGTATATAAATATCAAGATGGAGAGAATTTAAAACAGTAAAATATCTGAAGTTCACAAACCCTTGTTCAGAAATGTCAAATATGAAATTTCAATATGAAAAGTTCCACGAGCATTTTAAATGTAAAAATGTAAGTGAATTTGTTAACAAGAAATTATTAAAAAACTTATATGTATAAATTCTCTGTATTAATTATTTTGGATATGTTTCAATCATAACTAATAAAATCGGTATTTTATTAAATTTATGATAATTGTACGTAATATAGATTGTTTAGCACAGCTGTTATGACCTTTGATGTGGGATAAATAAATAAATGGACCTTCATTTCTAAACACTAAATAAGTCAACTGAAACGCCGTTCACAGATAAGTTGAAAGAATTAATCTCTTTTCTCTATTTAAAAATGTAAGGCACATTTGGATGTGCTTCGAGAATAAACTCTGAAAAATAGCTAATTAGAAGCAGCTCCCGCATTAGCAGAGAATTGCACATAAAGGATCGAGCGAACGTGACTCAATAAGTTCGCTAAACATTGCTGGTAATAAGCGAACTTGGAGGATAAAATACCGCGAACGGGAGCGTCATTATTCAGCTCTCGACGTAACAACGCCGCCTCCATTATTTGTTTCTTCTCATACTTGCATAAAATCTTTGTCTATAAATAGCACGTCTTTGGTAAGGCTTTAGTTGAGAGAATCTTCCATCGATCCGCTGTATCGCTTCTAAAAGCTGGAATAAAGGCTGCTTTATTCTTTTTTTTGCAGTAGCGTGATTTATCATTCCGCCGTTGCGTTCCCTTTTTTCGCTAGGCTAACGCGACCTCGAAGCCAAACTTTTTTAGCGACCGATTGGTTTTTTCAACTCTCTCAAGCTCTCTCTCTCTCTCTTTTTCGTTTCGCATCGGCGCTGCCGCGGTTACACCCGCCAAACTTTCGGCGTACACGCGCATACAAAGCGCGCCACTGGGAATTTCATTATTTAAAGAACCCCTCGCCTTCTCTCTCTCTCTCTCGAGCGCTCTTCCTCTTTGCGTTCGGTTACTTTTTAATGAATTGTTTGCTTGCTTGTTACGCTCGAGAACTCTGTTTATTCTCTCAATTCCCGGCTGCCCCCTCCACACTTACCTTTTTTCTGCCGAGAGGACGCCTTAACCGCTATGAGTTTTTTGCTCGGTGGAAAAGTTATAAATGATTGCTGTAATGATTTAGTAAATCTGGAAGCACGCACGTGCGCCTGAATAATGCTTGTTCGTTGTGCGAGTGCACGTTCGTCCCTCGCGACGATTGCGAAATGATAATCTCCGTCTTCTCATGCCGCTCGAGCGCGAATCGCATTTTTTCTCGTTGGAAACTGAGTTGCGAATGACCGCGATACCAGCACCGATGCCAATACGTTGCCAAAGAAACAGTAATTCAGGATCCATTGGGCATGTGGCGAAATGACAGAATTTCAATTTGTCACTACACGCTGTCAATACGCAACCTCAAGAGAGTTGGCGTATCGCAAAAAGGCTCGTAAATGAAAATGTGTCGTCGAGCAGAATAAGCTAAAAGTACGAACGAAAAGTTTGGAATTAAAGCTCGCGGAGACACACTCAGCGCACAAACAATTGCGCGCGCGCGCACCCCCGATTCAAACTACGGGACGTGTCATAAAATATACGTTTCGCTGGCGTTTCGTCCTCAGCGCGATGGCAAGCAGCGGCGAAAAAGTAGAAACACAACTAAAAGTCAACTGCAGCTCTCGCGGCAACACGAAACAGACTACTATGCGTCGCGAAAATTTCTCATTGAGCGTCGTCGTGCTGCGCTGCGCCGTGTTAGTTTCACGCAAGAAGCTGCGATTAGACTTGCGCGCTAAAGAGAGAGAGAGAGAGAGAGAGAGAGAGAGAGAGAGAGAGAGAGAGAGAGAGAGAGAGAGAGAGAGAGAGAGCGAGGTAGCAGAGTAGGCGATAGGGGCAGGTGGAAAAACAGCAAAACCCTCGCCCCCGCCGCGTTAATTTGCACTGTATCGATTTCAAAATAGCCGCCCCGGGTAAAAAAAGAAAAGTAACCGTAATAAACAAAAAAAAAAAAACAAACAGAAAGAAAACAAAAAAAAAACACGCCACTACACTAGCGGCAGCCAGTGTAATCGAGTGCGCTGTACTTTTACATGCTATTGCCGCCGCGCGGAACAGGCTGCAGCCGCGGTACCTTGCAATCATTAATTTATTTGGTTTTTTTATCTTCTCCAGCATTGAACAAGCCCCGGCTACAAGGTAGTTCTGGATTTATCCGGGCGAGCATCCGACATTAATTCAGCCCTTTGGTATTTACAGGCGAGGAACATAGGCGTGCAGCGCAAGCCTACAGCAGTTGCACTTTACGTCGCTTGCTAAAAGGCCAGTTTCGGTCGGGCAGGCGCGTTCGCCGAGAAACTTTTATCCTCGCGGCAGGCACGCAAGTCAAGTCTAAGTGCTCGATGAGGCGCGAATCGCTTGTTCCGTCTGAAAGTTTCGGAGCTCGCGCTCGGTCTCTCTCGCTCTGTCTGTCTGGACAACGAGCTCTCGTAATTGCCGGTATTTACGCTGGCCGCAATCTCGTTACTGGCTTTCGCTCTACCTCCGCAGACACACGCGCGCGAGCACGCACACACACACACACACGTACGTGGGATACGGGTACGTGAGTGCGCCCGGCGAATTAAACGCGCGTACGTGCGCGAAATAAAAAGGCGCCGCAGATTTAAGCTCCCACGGGTCAAGGATTGATCGATATCCTTCTGACATACACACACACACACACACACACTCACGCGCATCATTGAGATAGTCAAAGGGAAATTTATGGCCGACGTGAGCCTCACTAAAATGAAGGACTTTCTTATTCGCGCGGCTGGTTATTTATCCGACTGGCCGTCTATCCGCTTGACCTACCCTTCCGAATACGCGCCTTTCCTTTTTCCTGCCGTGTTTGATGAATATGCAACACCGGAGTGACGTTGAAGTTTTAACGCGCGCTCGCGTAACGCTGAATTAATTGTAAGCGTTCTCGCTCCGGGCCGCGAGAATTTCCGCGAAATTAAACAAGAGTTATTGTTCCGAATAATAGAGGTTCGCGCGGGTGAGCTCTAAGCCTGCCCCCGCGCGTTTCCCGTGAATCATCAATTGGCCGCCAAAATTGAACGACACTTTTCGCGGCGAACAATCGCCACTCGCCAATTATTGTAATCTAAACTATCGATTAAATCGCCACCGAAATAAGCCGAAGCATTAAAGCGGCTTAATTGCGACGCGGAAA